AACCGGGATATGGCGGTATAATCTGTTGTCGAATGAGGAATATATGTTATATTCGGATAGGCATTCCAATTCAACGTTTATTCATGAAAATATATTAACCTTCTAACATGTCAAGACATAAATTACTTCAATTTGAAATTGATTAGATTTTCTTGTTCTACAACATAAGCAGAACGCTACATTTTTAGCATTTCGATGCAGCTTGTCTAGGCATTTCATATTTCAACGTAATACTCATACCCGCCAATTTAAAGTATTTAGTCTATAATGGCTTATCAATGTATACAATAAAGGAATATCTTATCCAAACAGCAATATATTTCTCAATGTTCACCACATAGGGAGTTTGGACTGTTGCATATGAAACTTAAGAAGACATATTTCCGGGCCTCTATAAACTTCATGACTTTCGTCCAATTTTTTCCCTTTGAGTTAAAAATACAGATGAATATAGGATCTATGAATTGCGCAAGGTTGGCTATCTCTGCACCTGCTATAATTGAATATCAAGTAGTTAAACTACTTCAACTTAGAAAAATTAAACTTGAAAATATTCAGGCATCTTATGAAAAGATGAGCGGACAATATTCCGAAGTCAAAAATTTTTATCGCGATTCAATTCTGCATCAGTAGATTAACAGTTTTCTCCTACTTGAACATGAAGGAAATCGAAATTTTTCCCTTTTCTGTATCTATGATTGAAGGTTTTCAAAAGAGATTTAGGATATGTGAAAATGGTTATTTATCACTTGTCATGAATAATTTACTCAGGTTGAATATCAAAAATTCAATCTAGAATTCAACCCAAGAAAATCATTCATAACGAAGTGATCGGAAGAATTTTTCCAACAAGAGTTTTTTCGGAAACCTTTCAAAAATAGCTCCAAAAAGGAAAAAAAGCGTAGATGTTTCATTTAACATTTTCGCACTAAAAATACTCATGCTCATGTAAGAAAAATAGTTAGGAAACTTATGCAAAACCAATGAAAACAATTTCACTTAATTTTGAAGAATGTTAGTTATTATTATAAGCAGAGGCACTCTGTGCTTGAGCGAAAGTTGCACCTGCAGTTTAACGCCGTTTCCAAACGGCCCAAGATCATGATAGGAATAGAACCCACCAGCACCAAAGAGCCGAAAGCGTTTTAGAGTCACTACACCATTAATTATTTGTTCATTCATCTATGACGAGGGGACCATGGATTCGGAAGAGTATATAATATTATTTTATTCTATTAGTAGATTATTTACACTAATTACTTACCGGATTTTTATTATCTTATAGAAGTTGACGTAATATTTTTTATTGAATATATTTGTATTAACTAGTTGTATTAACTATCACTAACTTATTCTCATCTCAATAGAAAAATAATGAATTTCGTTCCAACAGTTTCGTGAAATGAATTGTTTCGAGATAAATTTTTATTTCCTTTTGATTCTTTTCTAAAATAATCTAATGACAGTAATAATATACATACTCCTCCGAATTCAATGACCCCTCGTTCATATTTTACGGAGTCATAGAAAAAAATTAAATCCAAAAGTAATTCAAATAAAAATGAACTTCAATTCTGTCCAAACAAATGTATTCTAAATGAATAAGTTCTGAAACTCTAACGAGTAGATATTGCTCTTCATGAATCGATAATATTTACATTATAATACATTACTTTCGATATATATATATATATATATATATATATATATATATATATATATATATATATATATATATATATATATATATATATATATATATATATATATATATATATATATATATATATATATATATATATATATATATATATATACGCATACTACGGATGAAACGAAGCCCGGTACACACTGAAGGTGAAGTGAAGCCCGGTAGAAGGAGTGAGGGTGTGTGAAGCGGTATATGTTTGTTGTATACGTCTTTCCGCTTTTATGCAGACCGCGTTTTTACACTTGATATATATTTCGCATTAGATGAAGCCCGGCGATGTTGTCGGCGTTAACTAAGATTTAGTTGAGTGATTTGTTTTTAAAATGAGGAATGTTATCTTTGGATATTGCATTTCCGATATTATTTCATTCGTAATTTAGTAGTTAAATAATATTTTGAAATTGGCGTTACAAGATAAAGCGGTTATTGTTTCTGACGAGCAAAGTTTCTGACGAGAAAAGCTCATTGAAAACTGGATGAAAATAAAAATTTTTTTCATAATTCTTTCAGAAAAAAGTGAATAATTTTTGTACAATTTAAGAAATAAATAATGTTTCTTTCTTGTATTGAATGAATTTTTTGTTTCAGTGAATCTATTTCTTACATATTTCAAACACTGAATGAAAATTAATAAATTAGTAAAAGACATATCATTATTATCACCTATCATTATTATCTTTGGGTATTGCATTTCGGTTATTATTTCATTCGTAATTTAGCATTTAAATAATATTTTGAAATTGGCGTTACAAGATAAAACGGTTATTGTTTCCGACGACCAAAGTTTATGTGCGAAATTAACAGATTTTTTGAATCAGAAGCGAAACATTCGACCAAAAAATAAGAATACTGCGAGAAAGGTACTTATGTTTTTAATAAATATTTTGATTTGAATTGAGAATCCTGTAAAGACTTGCAATTGAGTTCTGAATATTCCTCATATTTTTCGAAATTTCAATAAAACCAAAATAATTCTGCGCTGGATAACTCAGAAGTGTCAATACTATACACGTTGTATAAAGTGGATAGATGTTCTTCGGTTAAAGAAAAATAATTAACAATATTCAGTATTTTCACCCACGTATTCTGAAACAAAAATACAAAAAAATTGTTCATTTACAGCTGCTGTGTAGTCTTATCGCAATTATAGGAAAACGTTTCCTTTTAATATTGAACATTAAAATTGTTGTGTTTGCAATTCTAACATAAAATCGTAAGTGAAAGTTTAACTGTAGTCAAATCTTCTGTATGTTATCATTGAGAAAAAAATGCTTGTTGACCAAAAAATCGGAAATCGTCTTGAGACAGACAATCTGAAATTACATCATCAAACTTTCTGAGTTTTCATTATGAAACAAATTGAATGAACTGTTTTATGCAATTCTAATGATTTTGATATAAGTTGTTTGTATGTGTTTTTGTTTTATATTTTCCGGCTTAAATGTAAATTATTCTTTTGTTTTTATAAAACATCTATTAAAAATTATTTCAATTCCTCATCAGTAAGAGATTGGATGCCATCTGAATCAGAAATCTCATTGAATGAGTATAGTTATCTATCTAGTTCATCCAAAAGCAATTCACTGTTGTATTTTCCTTAAGGAACGTATTCAGACTCCTCTGCAATAATCTTTTGAACATAGTCAGATAGTAGCAGCATCGTTAAACCAGAAATCTTCAAAGGGCTAAGTTATAAAGACTATATGAAAACTGAGGACATACGAGCAGATGCTTACTTCATTTCATATGAAATTATGCAATTCCTATATTACGACCACAATTGCAGATAATTCAAATTACAGAAGCAAATGATATTTTGGATTTCAGATCAGAAGATATCGTTTGATACTCGCCCTGAAGACCATCAAATGGCATTTTTGCAAAGATACACTTCTGAACAAAATACGTGCAGGCAGCTGAAACCTTCGTCGTCAGTTTCAAGCGATCAAAAATCGAAATGTAATGTTGAAAATTTTTTTTCATCTAGTCACGAAATAATCATCAAAACATTAATATTTTTCTACTCTATAAAATCTCAATTTCTCAGACTGAATGATAGACTTCGTCAGGTGGAATTTTTAAATTCATATCCGTTTTGAACTCTGAAGATCTTAAAATAGCTTATCGAAAATTTCTTTGAAATGAGATGAATTTTTTTAAATATACAAAAACCATTTCAAATGTTTGGCGCGTTTTTCATGTTTTACATTACTTTCATATTTCGTTCTTAATTGAACACATTCAAATCTATAATGTTTGAATTTTTCGGTTATCATCAACACAATAATTTGAATACTCTGGGGTCTTCTCTGATTAATATAACAAGTCGATGCTCATCATATTGTTGTTAACTATTTTTGCCAAGAATGAAATTAAAACAACTAGGTACGTTTCGGTCTCCACCATAACGAGATTTCTCATAAATATATAATATATGAAGGAAATGTGTCAGAAAAATAGAAGTCAGTAATATGTTGTCACATCTGTTTCAATTTATACTTCATTTTCAAACTGAATTGAAGAACGTGATTCGGTGCAAAATGCCTATTCTGATGAATGTATACTATATCAAAAGAATCTATTTCAACTACACATTGGCCTTGAATTTGAATGCATCATTCCTAAATTTTCAAGGTTCTCTTGTTTATGACTTCACCTTTCATTCAAAAGACATGTGATTGTTCGAATCTTGAAAATGCATAATATTTTTGCTACCATTTATTATATTTGAATAGTCGGTCAACAGATTTATTTAAACAGTTTTACTTGCTGAGTTTTGCAGTTATTCAGTAATATCAACTTATTGTAATAACACATGATTTTTTTCTAATCCTTTCTTTATATATCAAACAGTAAAAGTTGCAAATGTACTTCTTCTATCAGAGAAAGGAAAAGGCAGCGAATTCAAGGGCAAAAACTTGAACGAAATAGGAATAGAAGCCGATGTTTTCCTCTCTTCAGAATCGGATGTAGAGGAAGACATTACAGGAATTGAAGAACTAGAAATAGAGGAGAACATTTTAGAAAATGATACTAACGATTGGCTCCACCTTCTGGCATATTAAAAAAATTGAACTAATAACAAAAAACAATTTTCTAGAGCTGGTTGGTTCAACGAAGAGAAGAAAGTTATGATGGACTATTTCAGAGAACATATAAATAAACTAACTCCGAAAAAGCACGGATGGGAGGAATTTTTGAGCACACATCAAAAAAAACTATAAAAACTGGGTGAAAATCAAATTTTTTTCATAATGCTTTCAGAAAAAACTGAATACACAAAAGTCCATGTCTTAGCTGGGATTCGAACCCAGATCTCCCTCGTGAGAGCCTCACTCTCTCACTACGCTACAGAGACGACATCTACTATATTTTTAAAATGACATCTTCTATATTCCTTATCTCTCCCTTCAAAAACTGATCTATTGAACTAGAGCCTCAATTACTCTGGTGAAACTGTTAGAAATTAGTATTTTTGTCATAAATATCTTAGATAATTTCTTATGTACATCTAGTTAGGTAATGAAAATCTCCTATATTTATATACCGAGAATTTTATTCCACTTTTATTCATAGGTAATACCTACTTACGATTTAAGGAATATGCATGTTTAGTTCATTGAAATGCTGAATACTACCTACTCTCGATATTTTATACTGAAGAGCAATGTTGCCGATTCATAGCGCATATTTAATCTGTGGCGATAAGAACTTGCTGACGATAAGAACAGGCCTCCTAGCGCTGGATATGGAGTACTAACCAGTGTATATATACAGACGTAGCGCGGCATTAAGAAGCCCATAGCGATTTTAAATAACGTTTGTTTTCACAATATCTACCTCATGGTTTTGAAATATTCTAGCATTTTCTGATGAATCAGTGGCTACGTTATCAACGATAGTTTTTGAACCGGTATCATGAAAGGATTTCAACCATAATAATGCGATATACACACAAAAAATTAGGAAGCCCGTTTTGGGCTTCCTAAAACTGCCACGGGCTTCGTATAATCTGCAGAACGTACAATTTCGGGCTTCTTAATGATGGATTATATATATATATATATATATATATATATATATATTATATATGCTTACATTCCGCTTATACGTCATGTACATCTTCGAACTCTGTATTTGTAAAAAGAATATAAGAAACAATCACGAAAATCAATAAATCACTTAGAAAAACTGAAAAACTTTCAAAGTATTCGATAAATTTATCGCAGAAAAAGATAGAGATCTAACCAGTATATAAAAAGAAATCAAAATGAGAGTCAAATCCATCATTTCAGATAAAAGGGAAATAATGAATTCTGCGGTGTATCGGATGTGTATAATAATGCTCAAACACATGTTCAAAAACCTCCGAGATTGCATAATAACTAGCGTGAGCTCAGAGGCGGCTAAACGAAATCGTTTTCAAGTATCAAAATTCCCTATGGGCACACTCTTGAAGAGTATAAAGCATTAGAGTTCTATTGTCTGCCGCAATCAGACATTTGCCGCATATCGAAGGGGATTTGCCCGCTACTACTGTATTTAAAAAGAGCTTAATGCTCCATGAATGGACTGCTGTTGAACCAAAAAACCCGCACGGCTTTGTTTCACTTCTTTGATTCATTTCCAAGTCTCTGAAATCTGTTGATTCAACCGTCTGATGAAAATGTTAAATGTCTCTTCTTGTTTTTCACATAGACGGATTCGTACTTAAATTGCAGACTGGAAAGTATACAGAGTGTGGAAAAAAGAGCGAGCCCCTACGGGTGTGATATTGAATTGAATTGAAAAGTAAAATTATTGAATTAATTTTTCAAAATAAAGCAACGGACTTTAGACCAGTCAAAATAGACTAAATTATGATTCAAGGTTGCGTTAATTCCCAACAAGCTGGATTTTTGTGAAGGCCTTGAATACGTCATTACAAATGGTATGTCAAAAGTCCCCATCGATCCCGCTTGTGCGTTGTTTTTTATTCGAGGTCAAATGTCCCAATATTTGGGTTTTCTGCGTATCTCTCTGAAACAACGAGAGTTATCGAAAAATGGTTCCAACAAATTTTGTAGATCGTAGAATTGTCTACAAAAAAAATTTCAACACTTTTCTTCTACAAAGCATTGCTTTTGAGGTATCGTGACTTTAGACCGCAAGAAAATCGTATTTTCGACTATATGCACACATTTCCGCACCACCTTTGAGGTAGTGTACACGGCGCTTTTTTTTAACGTGGTTTCCCCAGTAGGAATACTCCACAATATATTTTGATCGAGGGAATGTAATGGGACACTATTTCATTGATGAATTTTTTTTTATCTAAATTTTATGAAAATTTTAACAGCAAGAAAATTACATCATCATTCATCATCAAATTCTTCATAGTCACTCGTTTCTTCCTCTTTACTGTCTTCTTCCTCTTCTTGCTCGATTTGTGTAGACTGCTCCAAGAAGAGAGATATATCAGTTATATCCTCATCAATTTCGAAAAAATCTTCATCTGTTGCATTTGATTCAATGTTGGTGCAAGATTGGCCTTGACAATTGGTACATACCGATGAACAATACAATCCAACTTTTCTGCACCCGCAATTGTTTGTGCAGCCTTTTTTGCAATTACAAAAAAATTGTATTGAGTAATTTTTCTGGAGCAGGTGGCAGTAAAGTCTGGATTGGCTCCAAAATATTATTCATCAATTTCCAGCCCCAATTTTCAGGATTTAGATCATTACCTAGCCACACTTGCACTTGGTAGAACAAACGAAACAAGTGTTGATTAGCAGAAGCAGATGTTGGAGGGAGACAAGATAACTGCACTCTCTTATTTTTTCTTGTATTTTCCACAAAACTCAAATATCTGTACTTGTCTATCGATTCCATTTTTTCTGGAGCTCCATACATAGCAAGGAGAACACGAATTCCCTTGGTGAGGAAAACATCTGCTGACGAGTTAATATTTGTAAATTCTCTTGCGATATCAATCAAGTCTTCACGTTTTTCGAACAATTTTAATACTGTATTTTTGCCCCTTTTGAAAATTGCTGATGTCGTATCGCAGCCAGTTATCGCATGAAGGAATAATATATGAGGCTGACATTTTGGATATGCCGTTAAACTTTGTGAAGAATATATTTTCGTTTGAACAGGAGCTCTCCCAGGTTTTAAAAAGTAAATGATCTTATCACTAGGTGTTCGCGCAGTTGATATTATTAACAAATCTACATCTTCTCCAAAAACGATAGTTGGATTGGTGCTACTGAATTGTTCAATTGCGGTTTCAATAATGAGGACGTCAGCGTCATTTTGAGCTTGTTTCACAACAATATTGGCAGCTACAAATTCTTCAGATTTTTTGTGTAAATGGTTAACCCGATGATGCATACTGGCCACGTATGAGTGTATATTCGTGTTTTCTATGTTTAAAATAGCCATAATTCCAGAACAGTGCACCGTACAAGAAAAAATGTTGAGATATTTTTTGTAGACAATTTTACGATCTACAAACTTTGTTCGATCAATTTTTCGATAACTCTCGTTGTTTCAGAGATATACGCAAAAAAGGCAAATTGGTGACCTTTGAACTCGAATAAAAAACAACTCACAAGCGGGATCGATAGGGACTTTTGTCATATCATTTGTAATGACATTTTCAAGGCCTGCGCAAAAATCCAGCTTGTTGGGAATTAATGCAAACTGGAATGTCTATTTTAACTGGACTACTTCCTTAAAATCAAAATCAAAATCACATCAGAAAGCCAGCTTCTTTCCTACGGATACTTCTCTCGTTCAAGTAACCGTATGTAACGGTCGATATTGAATTTACCCCACATTTTATGAAGCTATTATGTATATTCTTCAAATGGACTGAAACCTCTTTTATAACAAAGATACTTCTGGTTAGTCAACAAGTCAATGTTGTACTCAACGGATTCAGTTGATAAAAAAAATCATGTGATTCAGCAATCACATAATTTTCATAATCGGGTATTCCACAAGTGTGTAACCTTTGGTTCTCGTGTTTTACAGTATGTTTCAACATTTTCGTGTTTTTAACACTCACAGTTTCTGAAATTCTCATAATATACATACTTCAATATGTATGAATAAATAGTTCCCACATTATGAACGTGATTTTCTTGATATCTCACCTCTTAATCCTATCAGTACACTATCTCTGAAAATCAAGGATGTCTGGAAACCAATCAGAACGGATTTGAAAAAGAAGAACATGGTTTGAGGCTGTTACAACTTAACATCACCCAAATCAAAATAACCTATAACGTTATAATTTTGTTTAGTGTCATATCTTTTTGTCAGAGTTTAGTTTTGTGAGGTTAGGGGTACTCCTTCGTCTTACTGTAACTAAGTAGGTCTGATTGTCATGTTGTGTTGTTTGCAAGACGATGGAAGTTAAGCTGACTAAAAAAAATTAGGCTGGCATTTTTTTTTCGGAAAAATGATCTGATATTAATTATCATCAAGAAAGGAGATGTGTCGAGACCTTCATCTAATTATATACTTTTTCTTTTATGGAAATTTGCTTTGTCGAAAAGAATAAGTATCCAGTATTGGGATCATTTGATGTTCGTTGAATTCTTCTGGCATTTGTTCGTTATTTGGAAATTTGAACAAAAGAAGTACCCTTCAGGGGATCAGAGCACGTGTTCTTGATACACAGTAAACCGCACACTACATTTTTGCGTAAGTTCAGTTATTTTCAGTTCAATTTTGATTATTTGTTTCATGGGGGCTTTTGTTCCAGGGTTTTTCGTTTTCGTTTTCATTTTTACGCTTACTTTTGTATTTCTCAATATTATTGAGAATCATCATTTGGAGAAGGTTTGGTAGAAGATCTTTGAGGCTGAAAGTTTGAGTACACTTGGTGTGGTGAGAGAATTTCAGTACATTGTTTGAAGAGACAATTGATATTTGATTTTATTTTCATTTTATTAACCTTGAGTTTGCTTTGATTTATTAACTGTTCAATTTATATACTGAAGATTCCTTTTTATTTAAACATTCATTATAAATATTCTTTCATTGTGACAATTAAGTCCTCTTAGCTAAGAGAGAATTAATTTACCTTTATTTGTTTCAATTTCTTTTTTAGTACTTCAAATTATTCATTTTCTTTTAACTTTCAAAACTCTGACGCCTGGCATTAAATTTTTCTTACATAATTAACCCAACCCATATTCACTGTAGCTAACTGTGATGGGGTACAATTCATTAACTTTCAGTTCTCGCTTAGTAGTCACTTAGGTTTTGAACCAGAGGTTAATCGTAGGTATACATCTCGTGTATGTGAGATCGAAGAAGTGTACAACTCTATAACTAGATAGTAAAAGTAAGCTATAAACCTAA